TTTAATGTAACGATCAGGTGTGCTGAATTTTTTTCCCTCTTCTCCCCCATCTCTCTCTCTCTCATTAAATACTTCAAAAGGCTTTCTGAGGGAAGGGGAAGAGAGAGATGCAGGGGAAAATCTAGGCAATCTAAAAGCAAAAGATACAAAGAAAAATCTGTTGTTTTAAAAGCTATACTTAACCATCTAGGAATATCTCTTTTGAAAGGGAGCTTAACTGAGATATGTCATGGGAATGTGCAGTCCCAGTATTCTATGAGTCAATAAAGTTGCAGATTGTTAGAACTAATAAGAGATTTTAGAGAAATGAGGAAACAAATACAGAGAGGTTAAGCAATAATACCAATCGATAATGGTGCCTGCTACAAATAAAATAATAATTATTATTATTATTAATTTCTATTAGTTGACGTATAAAATTTCTATTAGTTGACATACAAACTAGACTTTGTGGCTTCCAGAGATTCTAACTAAATCTTTCCCTTGCGTGTATATTTCATGTGTATAAGTGAGAAAAAAGTTAAGACCATTTTTGATTTGACTCCTAGTTTTAAGGAGATCACTCTCTAAAGATAAAAAATTATATCAAGAAAATTAGCATTTTAGAAACAAAACCGAGTAGTCTGCAGTTCTTTTAGGCATCGTAGGAAACAAATACCTAAATACATCCATAAAAGCCCTGAGTTTTCTTTGGATTTATCAGTGTTTTCTAGGCATGTGCCTCACAGCATGATGTTGAGTAGACTATTGGGATTGCATGCTTCTTCTTGCTCCCAGCTCTTACTCTGTGTCTGTACTTTGAAACAAACCCATATATGGGAGGATTTATTTTAACTGATTTTTAAAAATGCCCTCAAACATTTCATATTTGTAATTTTTGTTAGTTTATATTTTTTATAACCACAAGGTCAAAATGTCTGAATGGAAAAGGGAGAAAACCTAACAGTTTTGCAATGATGTTTTCTGTGACTTGAGGAAAAAATTGCCTCCCAACCTACCTCTCTACTTGCAAGAGGCTATCTAGGTTCTTGCCCTCAACTATCTGTTTACCAAATGTTATTCTACTAATTTTCCATGATCAATGCTCCTTCTAAATATTACATCTTTGGCTTGGTTCAAGCCAAAAGGTATTCCTTGAAGCATCAGATAAGAAGTATATTTTCTATTTTGGGGAAAAAAATCCTATTATCTAAAAAATTTTTCTTTACTCTTGTTGGCTTAAATGTAAGGAAAGACAAGGTAGATACAAATATAATTTATTCAGGAAACTATTAAGGCATTAAAGCTGTTCAAAAGCAGTGTCTGTTACATGGTTATTTTGTAAATCTGGCATATAGCATAATGCCTTGTATGTATATATCTATATCTATATCTATATCTATATCTATATCTATATCTATATCTATATCTATATCTATATCTATATCTATATCTATATCTGTCTATCTATCTACACTCTCAAACTTCTTTCTCTATTATACCTTTGTACTAGGTACCTAGCAACCTCCTTTTTCGGCTTCCTTTCATGCCTTGTCTTCCCCTATCAGAACACAAACTCTTTATGGGCAAGAATCATCTTTATTTTTGTTTCTATTAATATTGTCAGGGCTTAGTACAGTTTCTGTCGTATAGAAAGCTTAACTATCACTTTTTGGACCTGCATAATGCCGCATTTAGGAAGTGATTGTGATTTATAGGGATAACCAGCTGTATTAGGCCTGAATCTTCCTTGAAACTTTGCTGAATAAACTACTTGGTCTTTTTCTTATGACATTTGAGAGACCATCAGGAACTGTGCATACAGATTTTTCTTTTTTGGTTGGGGGGACTTTTTAGTGGGAAGTCCTGGTTGAGTTACTTAAAAGGATAATGCTTGATCCTCTCCAATACTCTAGAGACATTTCTGGAATTAAGGATATGAACAAATTTGCTAAATGTATTCCAGATGACTTTTCTTAGGAAGGCAGGGCTATATCAGTTTAAAAGGAAACAAAGCCCTACTCTCATTCCTGAAAGATGTAACTCTTTCTGAAACCTTCAAATGAAGGAGAGGAAAGAGGTCTCTGAAAAGTGAGCCCCCACATAGCCCCCAATCCCCCAGATTCCCTCCCATAACCTGGACAATGTGATATTTGGTCATATATCTCAGCTAAAGTACATGTGCTGGCCTAGAAGAGTCTCTGGTTTCTCCTTTTCACTTTGTGTGTCTTTATTTGAGCTTTGATGAGTGAACCCGAATTGGATATACTTACCCATGGCAAATATATTATGAGTTTGAGATGGCCCTCATTTAGGAGTGACTGGTGGTAAGATGGATTTCCTATTTGGGAGAGGATGGTCAGTTACAGGAAGAGGAAAAGAAGCCATGAATTGCCCGACCAGAATCCCTAAAGAGTTGGTTGAACCACTCTCTGTGGCCTTTCATGACCTTATTAATATGGTGAACCACCACGAAAAGTAACTCTCTGGCTTAGAGGGATGGGCAGCAGTTACTGAAGAGGTTGTGCTGATGACAACATTCAGGTCTTGGCACAGGGAGCAAAAGCAGTGTGTGAGGCATGGAATAGGTGATAGCTTAGATTGGCACAGGGGAGTGATCAAGTTTTGGCATTGGAATATTGATGAGTTCCAGCATGGCGGGGCAATGGAAGCACTTGGCATCCCTTGGCCGTTGCATGGTAAGTTAGTACTTGGCTCTGGTATAATGAGCAGTAGTGTGGGGCCCAACAGAAGAGTGGGCAGTAGCAGGGGCTCCAGTGATGATGGGCAGTGTGGTGAGCTATAACTTTGACCCCAATGTCGACAGGAAGAAGAGTAAGTAGCAATGCAGGCTCAAATGGAGGTGGAGTGAGCAATAACATGTGCCCCTGAAGAGTGTTCTTTGGCCTGGTTAGCCTGCAAAGATCATCTTAACCTGTGATAAGGATTGGTAACTGTGATGAAGATTTCATCCTATGTCCTGTTGTCCTGGTCTTCCTGGAGTTGCTCCTGGTCATTGTCACTGCTTTGCATCAGGGGATCTATTAGGAACTATAAAGATTTGGAATCACTTACCACATGAGCCATATAATCAAGATCTGAGATTCATTCTTTCTCAAGGGTATAGTGAAACCTGAAATTTCTGTTATTTTTCTTCTCTATATTGTGATTCAGGGGACTGTAACATTGTTTTAAAAAAAACTCTTTTTCTTCCTAGTATCTTTCCCTCTCACTTTTAACTAAGCTTCTTCTTCAGTGTCACCTACAACAAGCTTCTTGATCCATTTAAATGATGGCTTTAGATCTCCTTTATGAGATCCTTAGTTCCTTGCTGTTAAAGAAAGGGGCAGGGTGGGATAGAAGTATCTTAAAGACTCTATCCCACACAGATGAGTAAGAGGTAGATAGATAGATAGATAGATAGATAGATAGATAGATAGATAGATAGACAGACAGACAGACAGACATAAATATATTTAAGTTATCCTTAAGATTTAATTGGCTTAAAGGTTTAGGACTCAAACCATCTTGTATAGCTTCCTGGTGATCTAAACATAAAAGCTAGCACACAAAGAATTAGAAATACCTTCCACAGGCTCTTCCTTTGGTCAGAAGACCAAGAGACCACCATATCTAACAAAAGGCAGGGAAGTTGTACCTAACTGAATCAATGCTATATCCTTGCTGCATATCCTTTAAAAGTTAGATTGTCTGAGTATCTCATTTCATACTAACCTTGAACCCAAAACTCCTGATTGACCTGAACTGGCTTATGACAGCAGTCTTCCTCCTATCTTTTTTGGTGGGGAGAAGTATTAGAGGTGGTATATGGGTATGGAAGACTGTATTTGCTATCAATATCTCTCTCTCTCCATATATATATATATATATATACACACACACACACACACACACACATATATGTAGTTTTGCTGAACACCCCCCCTTCTATGTTGTGTGTGTGTGTGTGTGTGTATGTGTGTGTGTGTGTGTGTGTGTGTGTGTTTTAATAAGGTAGCTTGATGGGAGGGCACTAGAGGAGACATATAATGGAAAATGTAAGTGATGTATAAATAAAAAAATCCGTAAAGCGTATTTTTAAAAGGTTTGAATTAATATAATTTATTTATGCTTACGTGATTTATATTTACACTTACATTTACATAGTGATCATCTCTCATATGTAAATCATGTAAGCATGTGTGAATGACACCCTGATGATGATTCTGGAACTGACACCTTTGAATAATCAGCCCATATATTTTCTACTCTCTAAAAGAACCATAAAATGATTACAACTTTTTAAAGAATACTTTTTTAATGCAGTTCTTTAAAATTAACAACAATAATCACAAGAAAGCATACCAATACATACGAGTACCATACACTTATTAAGTTTAATGACACTTTAGAAATATATCAGATGCCTCATAACAGCAAGAGGGGGTGGTTGCTCTCAGCTCCTTGAAGGCTTTGCCAACAGAACATAATAAGCTCTAGTGGGCTTTATTATGCTGGAAAGTTTTCATGCATGGTAAAGGTTACAGAATCCGGGTCTTTTATCTCAGAATAAGACCCATATATTTGGAGAAGCTCAGTATCAGAAGATAAGTCATCTAAAGATGTTTTATTTTCATTTTTTATTGAAGTAACTCATTCATGCACATGTCTGAAGTGTAGAGGAGTTAGGAAGTTAGGGATATTTTGCAGTATTGAAGCACTGGGTATCATTATCCTTGTTCTAATTCATTCTAGGTAACATCATTCAAATATCACTAAAAATTTGTGTTCTTATATCTGTCTTCATATGAAACAGTAAGACTATAAGATGATGAGTGCATAATATTGAATTGTCGCATTATATACCTAGTGATTAAAACATTTTTTAAAAAATTCTATTCCATTTGAGAATGAGCATCACAAATATTCAGGACTCAGTCATCTTATCAAATTTAATGTTCTTCAAAATTACCCATTTTATGAAAATAATTTACATTTAGTTTTATTTTGTTTTCCTCCAGGTTTGGGCTTAGCTTTCAACCTACAACCTGCCTTAACCATGATTGGCAAGTACTTTTACAAGAAGAGACCCATTGCTAATGGATTGGCCATGGCTGGAAGTCCTGTGTTCTTAAGTACATTGGCACCTTTCAATCAGTTTCTTTTCAATCATTTTGGCTGGAAAGGGAGCTTCTTGATATTAGGAGGGCTCCTTTTGAACTGTTGTGTGGCTGGTTCACTCATGAGACCTGTTGGACCTAAACAAGCTCCTGCTAGAAATGATGTTGAGAAAGTAGTGGGAGAGACAAGTGCACAGAAAGACATCAAGAGAAAATCAGCGTGTGAAACCATCAATAAATATTTAGACCTGTCCCTTTTCAAGCACAGAGGGTTCCTGATTTACCTATCAGGAAATGTCATTATGTTTATTGGCTTTTTTGCACCAATTGTGTTCCTGGCACCATATGCAAAACACAAAGGAATTGATGAATATTCTGCAGCCCTTTTGCTGTCCATCTTGGCCTTTGTGGATATGTTTGCTCGGCCTTCCATGGGTTTATTGGCAAACACCAAGCTGATCCGGCCTCGTATCCAGTACTTCTTCAGTTTTGCAGTCTTGTATAATGGCATCTGTCATCTATTGTGCCCTCTGGCAGAAAGCTACACTGGCTTGGTGGTATATGCTGTATTTTTTGGCTTTTCCTTTGGCATGGTCAGCAGTGTCCTCTTTGAAACCCTCATGGATCTTGTCGGTGCCACAAGATTCTCCAGTGCAGTGGGACTTGTCACCATTGTGGAATGCTGCCCTGTTCTGATTGGCCCTCCATTGGCAGGTAAGTTCATTTTTGGAAAACCAAAGAATTGCAGAAGGAGAAGAGTGATTGTCTTAGAGATCCCTTTAAACTTCTAATTGTACAGATGCAGAAAATTGAGATTCAAAAGAGTAAGTAAATTGGTTAAGAATTCACAGAGAATTCAGAGCAGACCTGGGGCTAGAATCATTCCTTCTCAGTCCTAGTTCAGTACCTTATTATAGCATATTCCATAATTGTATTCTTCCAAAGAAGAGAAATTTGACATTTCTATCCATTACTATAGCCTTGCAGAAAAGTTCAAAAACACCACTTTTGTTCTAAAAATGATGTTAGCAGTCCATGAATAGTTTCATTAACCTTTCCCTCACCTTCTGCTGAATAATAAACACAGATAGCCTGAAGGCATCTGGTTCTATGATTAGTGAATGCTCTATATTTTCAATTTTATTAAAATTTTCACTAAATTATTCTAGTGTTCAAAGCATATTTGATATGTGATTCCTCAAAAAAAGTGGAAAAAAATTCCTAAGATATATTTCATATACTGAATGATTGTAGAAAACTGCACAAAAGAAATAGTTACACCTATCTGTCTCTGTTTCTTTAGACCATTGTCTCTCTTTTATTGATGTTGGAGAAGGAAAGATTTTTATTGCACCTATTGTATCTGTCACTTTCTATAAGCCCACAAAGCAAATTAGTTCATCTAAATTGTCACATGCTTTTGCATTTTTAAGTTTCCGATCTAATTGGCATCGAAGAATAAATTAAAATGTGTAAGAACAAAACAAAATTAAATAAACCAAGTTATCCGAACTTTAATTTCCTTCTTCCAGTATTCCATGCAGTAGGAATTCCAATTTCTCTCAGTAACATGGCCTGGTTGATTATAATCTATTGGTATAGCTCCTAGCTGCTCATCAAGTTTAGACCTTAACTATCACATGTATTCTTTATTGATTTTGCTCTTACTATGACTTATGTGACCCCCAAAATATCAGTAAAAAATGAAATCAGTAGTCTGTTTGTTTTCTTTATGCATTACCAAACAATTTATTTGACTCTAGTGGAATGACTTTGTTGATTTGGCATCACATAAGTATAGTCTTAGGATCTGACTCACTAATAATGGGAACTGTTATATCAATATTAGAGTCTAAATCAATGAAAGAGAAGATGGGGAAAACACAAGAAATGGGACAGAATCACCAAAGCACAATAAGTTGAACTGAATAATGATTTCCATTGTCAGTTATGGTAATACGCTGTCGTCTATGATTAGCTCTATTTTTTTGCATTATGATAACTATAGAAGAAAAAAGAAAGGAAAGAGGAATAATGTAAGTAAACATAAATTCAAAATTATTTATCTACATGTGTGTATACATATGTGTATATATGTTAGTGTGTATATACATACATACATATTCATACATATTCACATATATTCATATGTTCCATTAATGTTGCACCTAAGTTTGGGGAAAAAGATATTTTCATTCTAGTTTTATTTGGCTGACCAGAGTCATGTAAACTAAATAAGAATTGTATTAGCCTATAGCATAAAATGCCATTTAACCAGGAATGTAAGGACGGAGGTATCTTGCAAGTCTAAAGGTACTTAACATGGCATTTAAGGACCCTCTTATTTAATGAAAAAGAAAGCTTAGGAAGGAGGAAGCACTTTGGAGAAACCTATACATAACAATATTCTATGTATGTCTATTTTCTTTTTAGGAATTCATAATAATATTAAACCCTAAAATTTAATTTCTTGTAAATATAGCCTAATTTATGTAGAGCATCTTTGCCCTGTGAAGATGTATGAAAGAATTTCTACATTAAAGTATCATCATTTCTTAGTATTAGTTCAAATTGACTATATCCATATAAAGGATGTTCTAAAAATCTTAGTGCATTTGAAATTTTAAGCTTTAAACCTGCACATTAAAACTTCCAGGGCACCCAGTATTTATAGCTGCAAAAAACTTGAATTTGAAAGTGTTGCAATTTTCAAATTAGTCTTTATCTCGTCTCACACATATTCTTTGTGTTTCAGGTAAACTGGTGGATGAAACTGGAGAATATAAGTACATGTATTTTTGCTGCGGGGTGATTGTGACTATAGCTAGTATATGGCTGTTCGTTGGCAATGCTATCAACTATAAGATGTTGGCAAAGGAAAAAATGTTAGAAGAAGAAAAGCAGAAAGCCCTAAACCATGCTGACTCCAAGGAAGTAGAGCCTTTGACCAATAACGAAAATGATGAAGTTTCTGTCCAAGCTACCAAAGTACTTGATGATCCCTCAGAAAGAGAAACAAATATTTAATGGGAATCATCACTCAGATATCAATGTTTCCAACTTCCTTTAAAACATAAGGCAGTTTTTTTTTTTAGTTATAATGATCAGCCATAGTTATTGTTGGAGATAGAATTTTGTTCAACGACAAGATTCTAATCTGTTTGCTATTGATGGGTTTTTTTATGATTGTGGTGGTGGTAAGATTTTTTGTTGTTGTTGAGTTGCGAATATGCAAAGGAGTCCAGTCTCAACCATGATTCTGAACTCTGGGCGTTAGATATTGATTTAAAGTCTTCCAGTGACAAGTGAACTTGGTCACAAATACAGAAGTAAATTCTCATTACTACATTATCTGCTTCATATGCTACAGGAAAATATTTGTCTGAACCCTCAGGATGATATTTATTCCTATGGATCTCTCCATTTCACAGTGTTTGTTTGTTTGTTTGTTTGTTTAATGCTTGACAAAAAGAATGGAATCAACTAAAGGGAGTAAAAGAATGCTACAAAGAGTATTGAGGATAAAACCAACACCAGACCTATGTACAATACAACCAATAACATACTATTTGTGGGATTTTTGTTTGTTTAAATTACAGTATGCCCAGGGGGACAAAATGGATGTATTATTTTTACATTAGCCTTTACAGTACGATGTTAAATCAGGAGATTAAATGAGTAGGTCTTTATTCTAAATGCAATTAATGACTAAATGATAGTGTGTGTGTGTGTGTGTGTGTGTGTGTGTGTGTGTGTGTGTGTATATATATATGTATATATATATATATATATATATATATATATAAAGTAAACTTTGTGAAAACTGATGAAACTGATACGCTAAAACCATTATCTTTGAGGCCATATGATTAATCCAAATATTTCTTGTGTCAGTTGATTGAATATGACCTAAAGAAACAAATTTTATTTTTGAAGATTTTTAGTCATTAAAATATCCTAGATAAAGGAATCAGAAGGGACAGGGAGTCAAGGAAAGTGGTTAGGAATCACCTAAAGTAATACATTTAAAACAGGTTTAGGTCTATAATGACAAGAAGTAGCAATTAGGGATTTCTGCTGAATATATTAGTAATCTCAAGTTAGAGTTTTATTTTTGTTTTCTGACAGTCCATTGATGTTATATAGTATAACCAGCTGGCCCTCTTGTTGACAGACATTTATTGAGTCTAAATTATGACTTTCCCCTATACCTGGAAGAAGTGCCTGCATTGAAGGTGAGCAATCTGATTGGCTCTACTGTGGGTCCAGTCCAGTGGGTCTTCCCAGTGTCCTGGGCACACAGGTAGCTAACCTAAAATGCCTCAACATGATAGTACCGGAAAATTCAAATCCTGTAGCCAATCACACTCGGACAACTTATGGAGGCAACTGAGTGAAACAGTGTCAAGTTGGGTTCTGACCATTTCAGCTCTCCCATTTTTACTTTATAGTTATAGCATGGAATATAATGATGAGAAGCTTGTGTTGCTGCTTTTCAAATTTAGGGACCAGTTTCTCATCTTTGAACCCTTGTAGGATTTCTGGAACTCTATAACACCATTTTAAGGAAAATCAGATATTAACCGTATTCTTTCAAAGTCTCAAATTAAAAAAATAACATTTTAAATTAGAAAACATTAATAATCTGACAATTTCAGTTGTAAATATTAACTTCTATAGATTTGAATTTTAGTATTATAATTAATAAAATATTTTGTTTTCTTACTGCGATGAAATCACCTGAATGATGTCAAATGGAATTTTCTTTCTTGCTGCTGTTTTTTTTCCCTTTCTTTCTTTCTTGCACTAAGGGAAGGTAGCTCTTCTGATAGACAGTAGGAGAACACGTATCAATCCTTTTGAAATTGTAAACAGTGAGGATCTGATTCATAAAATATTTATGTACTGTTTATCCAAGATACTTATACATGTTTAGAAAGATATGTGAAATTTCACATTTCATTTACCTTTCGCCTTTTAAAAATAACATGTAAAAGTGTTAGAATACCAAAAAAAAAGTTTAAGTAGAACAAAATGTGCCAATATCACAGGTAAACAAATCAGGGAAAATTTGGCAACTACAGGAGTGTATTTAAGTGAGTTGTGTCTGATCCTGATGCTTAATTTAGCTATTTTCATAGATTTATATTTTTATATTTTACTCTGATTTGTCATAACAGGGCAGAATCACAAATTGTATTTCCCCTCTCTAGACTTAAACACCTTTTCTAGAAACAAACAAACAAACAAAAAACACACCTAATTCTTAATCTTTGAAGATATATGATTAAAATAATATGGATCTTAAGCCTCATGTATAGGAACTAAATAACCCCAAAGTATGGGATCCTCATCTTTCCTATCAGCTGAAGGTGGCCTCTGTTGCAGTGGCCTAAATTTTCATTGCTCCTTTTTTTCTCTCACCAAATGAAAGGAGCAACTTCTTAGAATCTGCTCCCACTGATTAGTTTCTGGTTAAGCTGACGTTCTATCGCTTGTTGGTTTTAGTCATTGATTCCCAGTTCCTAGTACTGTTTTTGTTTTTAAACTTTGTTTTTCAAATGAGAAACAGAATATAACTATTGCCCAACAGATGGGCTTGCAAAAACTCTTAGAGTGGCACACTTGAACTGTACAACAGTACAAATATGCACATATAATCCCCACTCACAATTGTAATGGGGGTTAAAACTGAACACACTTGAAATAGTGGTGTAGATATACCCACTGGGGCCAGACCTGTGCTAGGGTAGCCCAAAGTTTTTCCATCAGGATTTGATTTGTTTTATTTGATTTCTAGTCTAGTTATTGCCTCTGTCAGAATCTTACCAAGATGAATGAAGAATTTAAGCCAAGGGTATTCATCATAATATGTCTCATGAGAGGGCACATGTAAGATTTTATATAAATGGAGCAATACATGTTAGACAAAGTTCTCCCCTATTTTGAAGGTTGTGTAAGCTTCAACTCTGCCGAATAGCATGTGAAATGAACTACTTAAATTCTCTTTGAGTCCCATTTTAGCATTATTCTGAAAGCTTCTGATGCTATGTTATAAGAACAAAAGGTCATAAACCAGAAACATAGATGATTTCTGTTTATGCAATCTCTTTGCACCAAGTAGGAGAATTATGTGCTATGGAATTTCCAGAGTTGCTATGGAAAGGAGTTTCATTTTTTAGGCTTGGAAAAAATGTGAAAGAATTTAGTTCCATATCTATGTTTTCATGAATAACCCTTTTACCACACACAAACCTCCCCTTAATGATGTGCTGTATTTTTCTTGCTCCCCCCTCCCCAAATATGGCACAAATGAACTACTGTCAGCTGAATTGTAAGACAAGAACTTTGTGTCTTTTTATCTGGTTGCACTGATCAATCCATTGGGTATGCTCCTGCCCAATCCTTTTTGTGACCCACAGCACAAATTTGAGACAGGTAGTCAAGACTGCAATATAGAAAGAAATGTCTTTTCCCCCCTTCTGTTTAAAGCTAATTGGTTCACAAACTTTACCTCAGCATCATGTTCTTTCTGAGCCCATATACCCATATACCTGACTTTAAACACCTTCAAAATAGTGATATGCTTAAGCTGTTTATGTTAATCATGTTATAAACCCATTTCACTTATGAATATCTGAATAAGCAACATTGCTTCAGTGAAACTATGGAAAACACCATGAGAATTTAAGTATAGGAAAAGTTTATGGCAATTTCCCTATTTAAAGAAATATGTCTTCTCTAGGAACATCAAGAATAAAATCCCAGAGCAGCTATAAGAAAAAAAAATGCTATAAAAATTGATCATAGCATTAGGCTCACTGCATTAGGCATTGCAGTCTGAGTACAAGAGAATTTAGTCCTCATGTGGACCAAACCACAGGGTATCTAAACCTAATGATAGGTTAAAATTGAATGGAAGCCATTTAATTACACAGCAAAGAATGATTAGCAAACATGTGCCCCAAATGCCCCACATTTCTGCAATAATTTATATTATGTTTTTACTCAGAAGTTTGCTGGAAACTAGATTTGCTGTAACCCAAACATATCATTTCTAATTGCTAGCGTTTCTAGGAAATGCAAATGTTCCTGCCCCAGTCTCCAAATAATGCTAATGATGAAAAAATAGCCATGTCATTTTTTATGTAACTCCTTTTTCCTCATTAATAATAATGACTTGTATTTACTTAACTTAAGCATCATAAATTTCCCTGGGGCTGGGTTTAGAAGAAAATGTTATTAATTTTTATGATTATCTAATTCTCAATATTAATGGCAAATAGCTCATTAGCTGTTTGTTGTAATGCAAAAAAATAAAATCTGCTCATTAAAGAATGTGTTATCTTCTATGCCAAGTTGTGCTGATAAGCTCCATGTTTGGTGCTCTTTCTAGCAACAAACATAACAGGAAAAGGATATGTGATTTAGGCAATTTAATTCATGTTTCTGGGATACATGAGTTTTCAATAGTTGTGCACAATTTATCCCTTATGCCGCAGCTCAGTTTTCATGTTCTCTTTAGAATGTATCTATCTCTCTCTTTTTAAAAATTTGCTTCACTGAAACTGAAAATTTCATTTGTCGTTGTCTTGTTAACTTTATGTAAACATTAGAGCTCAAAAGGGACCTTAAACATTGTCCAGTTCTGCCTCTACCCTCCAAATTTCAGATAAAAAAAACAAAAACAAAAACTCAGGCTTAGATTTATGACATGACTTGCTTAAAATAATATAGCTAATTTAATGACAGACTCAGGACTAGAACCTCTAATTCCTGAATCTCTCTTCCCAATAGCCTATCCTGGCTCCAGGGTATTAAAAAAGTCACTGTACCCCTGCCCTTGTGGTTTAAAATACTATTAAAATACTTAAAATAATGTTCTATGGCTTGTCTGTTCATAGGACTTGCTGTTGTTTCTATTACAGTATTTTCCTCAAACTAATATATAATTTTATACTTAGGGTCAAAAAAAATCACCTATAAAAGAATACAATTCAGTGAATGTTTTAATTCAACAAATATTTATTAAGTACACACTATATACAGAATAATGTATTAAGGTATAATTACATGTAGTAGTATCATTGAGACATGGAGTAGTTCAATTTCAATTCTGTTTCAGTGAATTTTTATTAAACACTTAGCATATATGTGGAGCTCTGGAGCTGCAAAGACAAAAATGAAAGTAGACTTTGTTAAGAAAGTTATTTTCTATTGGGTGATAGCGATGAAATTGTCTGCTGAAGTAATGTTTTTACCTTAAGCACACAATTTCAAGTATGTTTATACCAAAGAGACAGTGGCATATCCATGCAGTAACCTCGTCCCTCTCCTCTTTCATCTTTCATCTTTTTTTTTAAACATTTAGATGGAAATTGTCTCCAATTTTAAGGACAAGTATGATCCCTAATGGTCTGAAGATGGGAAGTGGGAGATCAGTGTGAAGGCTGAAAACTCCAATTAGAGAAGCCATATAAAAATATTATGTCATTTACCAAAGTAAAAATTTACTTTAATTGATAAAATTTGAAAATTGAGTCCCAAACTATATCTTTCTACTTTTCTTTCCTAACCTAACCAACTGTCTGAATGTTTTTAAACTTTACATTGTTTAATTTAGAGGTATTGTGTTGAAGATGTTTTCCTTAGTTACAGATGTAACTACTTTTATTCAAGCATCAGGGTTGTTGAATTTATT